ATATATAAGCCTATCCAGCATCTGATTGAAAAATGGGGCAAATATGCTGCATTTCTTTAGAAAACGAATGTCAGTTCACTCGAGATTTCGGATTTAGCATAGAAAAAGCTATGTTAAGAGAATAAATCCCACGCAGTAATCCGAATGGGTTGAGCGAAGCAATATTTTTCAACATATTATTGAAAATTTTGGATTGACTTTCATGCAGTAAAGAAAAAATAATTAATTAATTCTTATATACTGTATTACCGATTAGGAGCTTTTGATTTTGGTACATAATGTCGGTATCACAGAAAAAAAATATCAAAGTGACATCGAAAATTCGGCTTCCTAAGAACACGGCTATTTTACTAAAAGATAATATAGTATTACAGATTCTACGCTCGGCGGAAATAACACATTTAGACATTAATAATTTGTTTTGGAGTGTGTGTATTATTTTTATCCTTTTAAAATAAGCCTATCCAGCATTTGGTTGAAAAATAGGGCAAACTATGCTATTCTTTAGAAAACGAGATGCATAAGCCATGTGGTTCACTTTGTTTTTTAAGAGAATACAATCCCACACATTCTCCAAATAGGCTAAGCGAAGCAATATTTTTAAACATATTATCAAAAATTAGAGATTGATTTGCCATGCAGTAAAAAAAAATAGAGCGTTGTGCGTTGGTATTGAGTGCTCGGTAATGCATACAACAAACATCACGGTAAATTAAAATTGACATGATATCTGTAGGCCTATTAATATCATCATCATCATCATCATCATTATTATTATTATTATTTAGGCCCCTATTTATTCGTTTATTTATATAGCACCTTTCTTTGCAGATACAAAGGTGTCAACGTGCTTAAGGGTTGCTGCTGTAATCAGCACAGGAATCCACACCATTTATACTCCTGGGTGTAATGGAAAGAAGCAAAGCAGATAAAGTTCCTTGCTCAAGGACACAAGCGAAATGCACTACGAGGGATTGAAACCCTGACTTCGAGCTTAAGAAACTCGAAACCATTTCCACTGCGCCAATAATAATAATAGTGTAGTAACAATAATAATAATCAATATTATTATTATTACATTTTCACCAGAATCTTAGCAGCCTATACAGGAATAATGATGATAGGCCTAATGTGATGGTGCTGGGGATAATGATGATGATAATGATAATGATAATGATGACGTATAGTCCAAATTCCATCACATCCTTAATTCGCACGAAATTGAATAACCTTATGGTTAAATGATATTGATACGGTAACAACTGAAGGATTGTTAATATAGGATATTGCTCAGTCGTCGGTCAACAGTCATTACGTAACTAATTATTAACAAATATTTTTAATTATTTGAAATATATAAAGATGTTATATGGTGGTTTGGGAAAATTTCAAAAATCCAAGGACGCGCCACCTACATAGTGCATCTACGAATAGCGCTGACCAACATACCACCTACATAGTGCATCTACGAATAGCGCTGACCAACATACCGAGAGGGTGAAACTAATTGAATTTCCAACTAAGCTCAGTGGTTGCTCCAGCGCTGGTGGGATGTGGGGGGGGGGGGCAAAAGGGCCTCAGACAGGCCTGGACATCCCGTCGTCGTCCGACACCACGGCGAGGTCGTCGAACCAAACAATTTGCTTATCCAAATCATGTTATTTTGATTGTCAATCCCTAATATTGTGGTCTAAAAGCACAATCTGGGCCATATTAAATCATCTAACTCTTCCCTGAACCTTCCAGGATTTTTTTTTATTCCCGGACCATGACCAAGGCTCTAGTCGGCCCCTTGGTTCGGACCC